GCTCAGTTGGTTAGAGCTCAGCCTTGTAACACCAAGGTCACGGGTTCGGATCCCCATGCCGGCCAGCCACCAAAAAAACAAAAAAAAAAACAAACATGAACCTTGAATCAAAACTCAGAAGAGTAGATGATTCTAAGAATAAGCATAAATTTGCATTCAAGACTCTTCTTGAAGGGGCATCTCTATGTAGCATGCCTTAAGGCAGGTTGTGACAAGAATGTTATTTAATTATCATTGGTTAATAATTCTCCTAAGTAACACCAGGGATAAAAGTTTCAGGGAGTTCAGAGAAATTCATGTTCCCTCTTCTGGTAATATTCCACACACTAAAAACAGAGTCTTCATAACTCAGCATCAACATGTCACAGGCTAACAGGCACTGGCCTGAAATTTTGCCCTTGGTGTTGGATGTCTTGCATTTGCCCTTCCAGATCCATACACACCCTTCTGCCCACCCTCCCCTATGCCCAATGAGGCTGACCAAATGGACTGCTTGTACCAACTCCCTTCCCTATGGGTTTTGGTTGGATTTGACCTGTGGGGAGGAGGACAGGAGATTCGAGTAAGAGAGACTGACGCACTCTGGCTCCTTCCTGTGGGGTCATATCAGGCTGGCTCCCTAGACCAAAGGTCTCAGCTCTTGTACAATGGCCCCCTCCACCCGGCCCTCTTTGTCACTAGAGTTCCAGCAACAGCCCTCTCTCCTAGTCACTTCTAGTGTATCCCCTAACCCTGGATATGCACTGTGTCCTGTGGTTTCCCTATGCCCTGCCCACACCTTTGCAAATAACTCCTTTATGAACCCCCCCTTTGAATTACCCGCAGTTGGGTGTGCCTTCTGTTTCCTGCTGGGAAGCTGCCTGATATACCTTGTTTCTTCCCAGTGGCCACGTTTTCATTTTCCCTCCTGGGTCTCTCTCACCTTTGGGTGAAGACAAATATCTGTTTTCTCCCTCTCTCTTTCATTCACTTCCCACCTCAGAATTCTTTGTAGGATTTCCACTCTTGTGGGGCCCTTTTCTGTGCACTATTCTCTCCTTATTGTGTTTTCTCCTAGTGAACTCATTATATAACTCAGGAATGGATGAAGCCCATAGATTTAGATCTGACTCCTCTTTCTCTTTCCTGTAAAACAAAATCACTGATTCTAATAGTTGGTTTTATGTAGCTGGAACTCTATTCCAACTGTTAATTAATTCTTAAGAGTGGGTCAATTTTGTGTTTAGGGTATAGTGTTTTCAGTCATTCAAGTAAGACAACATTATTGGAAAGCTCTATGGAGATGGCATTTCCATTTAAACATATTGACTTTAGTACTAATAGTTCTCTGTTTACCACTCCAGATCCACTTTTTGTCCTTCTCCAGACTACTAGACTCTCCTACCGACTGGCCACCAGTTAGGTTTGGCCAGTGGAAGTTACTAGTGTGAGATCAAAAACCAGGAGCAGAGAGAGTTGGAGTGTTTCTTCCACCCACTCCTCTGCCAGGTTGTCAGGTGGCCCTTCTCCCATGGTTATGGCTCTTGCTGGGCTCTGGAAACAGCTTCGCCACTTTGTCCCTTCAGTTCTAGGGTGGTGTCAGTTTCTCACTGTTACCAGTACCTGCCCCTACCTCTGTGAATAGCCCCTGCATTAAAGTTTTGTCAGTTACCATTTGGGTTTGCCATCTGTTTTCAGTGGGATCTATTACTGACACATACCTTTTAATGTCATTCAGAGACTGGAAGGCTTCATTACAACCTATCATCCTAGGTTAGGAATAATTCAGAACCACACTTGGGGTTCTAACACTTCAAATCCCAGTACTTTTTCAAGCTCATCATAAATCAAATACAATTTCTATTAATGTTGTTTCCCAAAATATACTCTGGTCTCCAGGAATGAGCTGAATCCAGAATCCTGGATTCTCAGGCAGACACCTCCCTGAGTACAGGACCCCAAGGCAGCTATCCTGAAGATGCAGCCAGCAAAAGCATTTCTCTAGGGCTTGACCCTGCCCCCTATCTAGGTTCTTGTAGTGAGCTGAGCAGGTCTACATGTGGGCCATGGGACCATTATTGCTCTTCTAGCCTAAGAGCTCAACTAAAAGCAGACTAGATGGTCTCCTCGGCCTGCTTCCCCCAGGCTCACATCCAGGGCTGGGGAAAGACAGGGGTGACTCTTTAAACAAATATGCTTTAAATGTTTGTTCAACATTCATTCAGTGGGGTACCAGTTGGGATTGGCTGTGGTTTTTAAAAATTTCTTGTCTACCTTGACATGGGTGAGATTGATCTATATATTTTGTTAGTTATGGCTTTAAAAAAGTATATAGAGACCTGAGTTAATTGGCTTCTATATGGATAGGCCCCCTGGAGAGAATAATAAAAATATTATTATTTTTATAATAAAAGTATTATTCTCTTCCAATGATTGACCTTCTAGAGTGGATGCCCCTGATTGCCTGTGGCTAGATCAGAAACTTCCCCACAAGAGTGAAATGAGAGAGGAAGCATTGAGCTCCCCCAGAAGGTAAAATGGGCCATAACCAGCCTTCTTGCCATGGGGTGTTATTAGGATAATGCCATTTTGTATGGTGGGAATGACCCCCTGAGCACTGGAAACTAGGTACTGACATAAAGATGAACAAAGGAAGAAGAAAGCAGCAAATAGGCCAGCCTTCTTGCCATGGGGTGTTATTAGGATAATGCCATTTTGTATGGTGGGAATGACCCCCCGAGCACTGGAAACTAGGTACTGACATAAAGATGAACAAAGGAAGAAGAAAGCAGCAAATAGGACAAAGTCTGAGCAGTATTTGTTTTCAGGTCGTCCTCCTGCCTCTCAGTCAGTGGAGGCGAGATGAATACCATCCACAACTCAACAGTGGGCTGAAGAGAGCAAGTTAATGCAGTGGCTTTGACAGCAGCTGTGTGTAATTCTGGGTTTGCCTGCAAGTCAGCTGCCTTTGCCTTGGGATTTTTATCTTTGTGCTCATTGAAATGTGTAATGCTAACTAATCTACATAGGAAGATTGCATAATCTCCAAGTCCCAGGAAACTCAGTTTCTAGAAAAAGTGATCACATGATTATCACTTTCTATTTGTCCCACTGGTGAATTCCTTCTTACTCTTCTTCATTAACCATTTCATTGCCATCTGTGTCTCCTAAAATGGACTTTTTGATTATTGAGACATCTTGGACCCTGTTTTCAGATCCTGTGAGGTGCTGCAGCTTGAAAGGAACTGTGGAAACCAGTCCACCAATGATTCTTGTTAAGTTGTTCAAAATGCATCTGCTTGTTCCAGCAACCCAACTTGTGTTTTAGGGGCAGAAATGCCTCATCAACCTAGCCCAGCCAGGGTGCAGGGAAGAATCAAGTGGACTGTCCACTGCATTATCCAACAATCCTCCAAGGAATAAAAAGCAAGGACAATCACTAGAATTTATAAATACACATTCCCATCTCCTTGTATCGGGCTTCTTTTCTTCTCTCCCCGATAGTCTGTTTTTGTTTTCCTGCCATTCCAGAGGGACCCTCACTCTACCTTATATCTTGCCACTCACAGCACAATAAAACTCATCCTTTCTTTTTCTAGTTCCCTCTGTTACTCTCAAGGGTTTTTCTAGTGTAGTCTCTGCTGCACCATATCATAGACTAAATTTATGATTATGTTTTATAATAAAATCATGATGGTATAATCTGGAGGCACAGCTTTTGCAGAACAAGGTGAGGCTGGCTCATGATAACCCATCTGTGTCTTTTAAAGTGAGTTTCCCCTCACAGCCAAAGATCCAAAAGTGACCAGAATGAAGAAGAAATATTTGACAACATACCAGTTTAATAGAGATCTGAAACATTAAAAAGAAATAAACAGAGCATTGCCGGGAGAGGTCAGGCTTGCCACAGGATAGATTTCCTGGGTCTCATTATAAAACCTCTACAAACAGAACCATGGCCTGCTTTCACAGCCTTCCTGGATGTGGGCTGGAGTCTTCGACAAACTACAGTGCCTTTGCAAGCTCACCTCTCTAGGCTGTGACAAACACTAGCAAATACATAAGGGAAGCACCAAAGCTTAGTGTGTACTGGGCAACAGAAAATGGGGCAGCTAGACCAGCATTCGGACCTCCACTGATGGCTCTCCTCCTCCCTGCTTCATTTCCAGTGCCCTTCTGTTTGGTGCTCCCCATTCCCCAGAAGATCCTCTGCACATCCTCATTCCTTGACAGGTGGTGGCAATGTGTGCCCTGAGTCCTGGGCTAAATTGAATGCCTCCTCCCTGGGTCTCCGTCTCTCCCAGGTCCGCCTTGCCCAGCCTAGTCCTCCCTCCTTCTCTGTAGCTTAGTCCTGGTTTCTTCTTGCCGGCGTCTCCAAGCAGCAATGATGGCCTCATCGTCCATTTCTTCCTCTTCCTCCCTGTCCGTGCTTCTCCGGTACTGAGACCGCCGCCCAGATGCAAACCTCCCTTCTTCTCTGTTTTCTGTCCTCTCTTTCTCTCCCTCCTCCTCAGACCTCATGAAGCTCTGGGTGAATTTCCTCTTAGCTCCAAATTCAGAGAAGTCTGACTTGGATGACTCTTCCACATCTTCCCAGTCCCTAGGCCTGGCCCAGTTGGGGCGCTGTGGCTCGGGGGACTCTTCCCCATCGGAGGACTCGGGGGTCCGGCGGAAGAAGTAGGGCTCTGGGCTTTCCTCTTGGGAGTTTGAGGTCTCAGTGAATGTGGACCTGGAGAACTTGTGCACCTCTCTGCCCTCCCTGGTGGAGGAAGAAGAGAACCGCGAAGTGCTTCTCACAGAGCTGCCATTTCCCTCGTGGTAGGAGGAGGTGTTCTGCTCCTCTGACTGGGTTTTGGAGAACTTGTAACTGGAGGATTTAGACTCTGTCTCCTGGAGCAGGGACGATCTGGTGTACTTCCCCCTGGAGCTTCCGGACCAGTCACTTTGGGGAGGTGCTCTTTCCTCTGTCCTGATGCCACTGAGCCACTTGCTAATGCTGCTGTCTATCTCTTTGCCAACTTGGCTGCCACTTGCGTAGTGATCAGAGACAGCCAGGGAGGAGGAGGTGTCTGTTTCAGGTTTTTGGGAATTACTGCGGGAAGAATATCGGAGGCTCCCTATGGCACTGTCAGTGTCCTCGTCCCTCTCACCCACGCCATCGTCCTCACCTTCCTTGATTTTCTTCTTCTTGAAAAGCGAGCTGCGTTTGTTGTCTGACGCCAGCTTCTCCAGTTTGTACTCGGACATCTTCTCCCTCAGCTCCACCTGCATCTCCCTCTCCTTCCGGCCAAGCTCCTTCAGGTCCACGTTGTCAGCAAACAGGCTGTAAATGGGCTTGCTGGTCCCCCTCGCTTTGCTCCCAGTCCCTTCGGCTCTCGAGCTCAGCATGGTGCTGGAGGACAGCACAGACTGCGTGTCGGAGCTGGCTCTTGCCTGGCTCGGAGGCAGCAGGCAGCCACCCAGGGAGGAGGTGCTCTGTCCACTGAGCAGGGAAACTTGGTCATCCCCCAGGCAGCTGGCCGCTGGCGCTGCCTTCATGCTTACAACGGATGGCGAACGGGACAACAGCAGCATCTCATTTTGCTTCTGAGCGAGGGTCTCACTGACTACACTGGCAATCCAGTTCTGGATACTGGCAATGGAAATGGTGTCTCCAGGCCCCACTGGCAGGTCAGGCAGGGGTGTGGTGGGCTTGGGGGCCGAGCATCCCCCTATGCTGCTTGCAGCCTGAGACAGGTGGGAGCGGCGGTCCTGACTGCTGAGTACTGATGCCGTGTCCCCATCAGCACTGACCGAGGGGGCTGCAGACCAGAACGCAGCCAGGGGGATGCTGCCGCTGGCAGCAGAGCTGTCCGCCCCCCAGCTCCCCATGGACTGGCTCTCCTCCAGCGTCTGCCGGCTTCTCTCCAGCAGCTCCAGTCTCCGCTGCCTCTTCTTGGCCAAAGCCGAGTCCTCTCCCTTGCTGAGCTCCGCCACCTCCTCCTTGTTCTCACTGCCCACCTTCTTCTGGTGTCCCAGCTTCCAGGCCTGGTAGGCCGCGAGGCTGACGTCGGAGGGGCTCTCCTCCCCGGCAGCCTCCTCTGCGCCCTGCTCACTGCCTCTGTCTCCTGCCTCCGAGTCTTTCCTGTGAAATCCAAATTGGATTCTCTTGATCTTCCACCGTTCCAGGGCAGTGAGTCTGTCCCTGTTCCTGCTGCAGAAGTTGTAGAAGGAGCTGGCTTCCGAGGACACACTGGCCCCGTCGTCGTCCCGCCTCCTGCCGCCCGCCTCGGGGCTGGCGTCCGCCTCCTCTGCCTTGCTCCTGGAGCGGTACCTCCAGGAAGCTTCCTTCTCAATCTCCAGCAGCCTCTCGTTCCACACGTCCCAGGTGCTCTCCGTGGACACGGAGTCGGCGCGGCGTCTGCCACCGCGGCGCTGACAGCTCCTCTCCAGCTGCCGCTTCAGGTCGCGGATGTCCCGGCTGCTCACGCTCTCGGCGGGGCTGCTGTCACTCGAGGTGCGCCTCCGCCAGCTCCCCACGGGCGAGGCGGCCCCGCTCGCCTCCTCCGCTTCCTGCTCCCCAGCCCCGGTCCAGTCCGCTGCCGCTTGGTACCGCTCGTTCCGGCTCTGCCACTCCTGGACGATCCTGTCCACGTCCCGGTCCCCCGGCTCCTCCCCACGCTGGCCAGAGGAGGCTCGACCGTGGGGGCCCCGGCCCGTGCGGAGGCCCTGTCCCTTCTTCCCCTCCTCGTCCAGCGTCTCCTCCTCCTCGTCGTCAGTGAGCGTGAGGGGCTCGGAGGCCCGGCTGGCCTTCCCCCCGGAGGGGCCGCTCAGGTGGCTGGCGGTGGCGGACCGCGGTGGCATCCGTGGTGTTTGTTTCGATGTGCCCAACTTAGGGTGTTTACTCTGCTTCTGGTGTTCACCCGTGCTCGAATCACGCGAGGGACGAGCCTCCTTGTCCCCATATTCCCGATGTCAGACAGAGCAGCCCCCACCGACCCCACTTCTGAGGCACTAAAGCACATTTTTACTTTCTCCCGGCCAAACAGAACATCAGAGGGAGGAAAAATAAAGGAATAGGGTGAAGGGGGGGGGGGAAGGGAAGCGGAAGGAATAAAAGGAATGAGGAGCTAAAATGAATGAATGCCAGAGAGGTAGAATACTGGTGTTGAAAAGCAGCACGAGCCACAGTCTAAACTTGAGAATTCCCTGCACTATATCCTTGGTGCATCCAGCCTCTGCCAGATGCTTCCAGTGACGGGCAGCTCGCTAGTTCAGACACACCCACCTCACTCCATGTTTGGATCACTCTAACTTTCTGAAAATCTTTCGTATATTAAAGTATACATTTCTGTAACATGCGTTCTGTGCTCCTTCATTCTGAAGTTAATAATGAATTCATCAGTATGAATCAGGCCTTTTGAACAAAAATCTTTTAGAAGATCACTATCATATTCTTCCCTAAATATTTTTTTTCTTTTCCTGGTTATTCTGAGTCTTTCACTTGTTTTCTGAGCATCTTTTCATGCTCCCTTACTATTCTAGCTACTCTGTTCCTGGTCAAAACTTGAACCTATCGGTTTTTTTTTTTTTTTTTCTGAGTTGTCTGTGTCCAGAACGGGGTGAGATATTTCAGGTTTGGAATGACACACATAGAGTAGAGTGGGCCCCTCACCACCCCTGTTCTGATGACATCTAAGCTTGCAGTGGGGGTGGTATGTCACACAATAAACTCAAATGATCTTTTACATCAACTGAAACCTATAAAACTTTAAAAAAAAAAACCCGAATTAAGTCATGTCTCTCATATCTTGTAGCTTTTTTTAAACATAAAGATAACTTTACAAATTTCTATTAATTTTTTTGGTAGACATGGTGTTTTATAATGTAGACAAGGTTTGAAGTCTTGACTCTTCCATTCAATAGATCAGTTATCTGCTTTGCATCCTTCATAAATGTGTCAAACATGCCTTCTATGCCTTCTGTCTAATGGCTATTTAAAATGCAGACTGGGACCACCAGAGACTTTCCTCCTGGCTGTCATCACTCTATTTGCCAACAGTCTTCGGGGATATTTGCTAATCATCTAACAATATGGGATAGGAGGTGACTCTTTCATTATTATATTTTTGCACCATCAAGGCCATGTCTTGGTCACAGAAGAGGTCAGAAACGGAGAGACTAAAGAGGACCTGGGGCCCAATAATGATGAAAGGTGTTATTGCCAAGAGCCAGCACTAGAGGGAGGTAAGCAAGCAGAATCAACGCCACTAAAAGAGCATCTACAGATGCCCTGTCTTATCCCCTCCTACCACCAGCTCAGGGCTCAGCTGTCCCTCACCAAGGACTTCCCCTTAACCATCTGACCTGGCCAT